GGCGGGGGGGGGGGGGGGGGGGGGGGGGGGGGCGGGGGGGGGGGGGGGGGGGGGGGGGGGTAGGTAGGGCTCGGCCTGGGGGGGCGGCAGGTAGGGCTGGGCGGGGGGCAGGTAAGGCTGGGCGGCGGGCTGCGGGGACTGCGGCGGCGAGGACAGCTCCATGTCCATGGGCACCGGCTCGGCGGGCACCGGCTCGCCCCAGTCACCGTGCCCGCCCAGCGGTTCCTGCCCATCCCGGTCCCGGGCGGCGGCGGGCGGCTTGCGGGGCGGCGGCTCGCGGTGGGCGAACTGCTTCTGATAGCTGCGGACGGGCGGCGGCACCGGCGGCACCGGCGGCTGCTGCTGCCAGTCGGTGAAGGAGCCGGGCAGCGGCGGCGGCGGCAGCCCCGGAGGGGGCGGCCCGGGCGGCGGCGGCGGGCCCAGCAGCACGGACTGCAGCTGCTTCTGGTGCATCTGCTGGAGCTGCTGCAGCTGGGCCAGGTGCTGCTCCTGCAGGCTCAAAAACCCCGAGGAACCGGCGGGCGGCGGCGCGGCGGCGGGGGGCGCGGGGCCCGGCGGCGGGTAGCTGGGCAGCGGCATCGGCGGCACGGCGGGAGGCGGCACGCTGGGGGGCGGGATGGGCAGCGGCGGGGGCGGGATGGAAGTGGGGGGCGGCGGGTAGTGCCCGGCCGCCCCGTACAAGCCCCAGGCCGGGTACATGGCGGAGCGCGGAGCACGGACAGGCCGCGGCGGCGGCGGCGGGCGGCCCACAGCGCCTGCAGCGCCTGCGCGGGGAGGCCCCGCCCCGCAGGGCAGTGGAGCGCGAACGCGGGGCCAGAGCGCCCAGCGGCGCTGCTTGGTGGGGGGGGCGGTGCCGGCACAGCGCCCCCTCGCGGGCATTGCCGCCAGCGCGGGGCCGGGAGCGAGCCCGGAGTGCCCGGGACGGAACGAGGGGACAGCACGGGGGCCTCTGTTGTGTGCAGGGGTGCCGGCAGGTGCCGCAGAGGCAAGGCTGTGTATGGCTGTCCCGGCGCTCCCGCGGGCCCTGATGTCCCTGGGGTTCACGTGGCCTCGGTTCCTTGGGGCGGCCGTGTTCCCGTGCCCGCCCGCTGTCCACGGCCCGTGTCGCCGTGCCGCTGCAGTCCCGCCCCACCCGGTTCCGGTGACCGGAGGCTCCATGGCAGAGCTGATGAATTGTTGTAGCGATTGAAGGGTGGCACGAGCGCGGCCACACGTGCCCCCGAGCCGGGCCCCGGGAACGGCGCACGAAGGCAAAGCGGGGCTGCAGCCTCGGGAAGGGCAGCGCGTAGCCCCTCGAGGGGACGGGGGCCCTGCGAGGTGATCCAGCCCCGATGATCCATCCCCAGAATGCCATGAACGATCCTGTTTCCAGCGAATACGATAAACCTGAGATACAAACACGAGAACGGAGCAGTGGATGTGTGAAATTGCCTCATCCATTACAGAAGCGACTGCACTGAGATGCAGGAATTTTTTTTTTGTTTCTCCCTTCCCACACTGAAGTATGAGTTAAACATACAAATATGTTCTGTAGCCCGTTAGTAATGATTTATGCCAAGTGCTGAACTGCATCCTAAAGACGTGAGGGCTTGTGTGTCTGAATTCTAGTAGCTGGGCAGTGAAGCCTTGTGGCTATGGGTCACCAGGGCACCAGCACAGTGGTGTGTCACTCCTTGTTCTCCTTCCCAAGCACAGAAAACATGAGCAATTTTTGTCATGTTCAATCTCTAGTTCATGGCTGGCAAATCAAGGATTCCTAGCCAGTGCAAAAAGGCATGTATTGGAGGAAAAGTCCTAAGACTTCTCAGTCAGGAGAAAAATCAGGAAAACCAGGTTGTTAGGTAGAGGAAAAGCTTTGTTCTCTCTGGTAGAAAAGCTAGACTTTGTGTTTATTTGTTGTTAAATTCCAGGGAATCCACAGACGTGATACATTAATACCATTAATCTACAAGAAAAGCTTTGACTGTGAACTCAAGCTATGAGATGCAAATCTTTAAGAAAACTGTTTTCATTTAACACACATAGAACTGTCTTTTCTATTCTTTGGTATCCTTTCTTTTCATCTAGAGGCGATTATTGATCCTTTTCTGTTTAGGATGATTTGTCTAGATTTCTCCTGCAGTGAATAGGACTTCAGATAGCATTTGTACTTTTAGCTTCTATCTCCTCTTCACTGTACAGGTACTTAGCATTTATATCCATTAGCTCTATGGGCCAGTTTACTCACTAAGCTTTCGAAAGTCTGTCCTCCCCAAATAGGGAATTCCTATTGCAAACATCCTGTAATTTAGCCTCCTGATCTATTCACTCAAAGTGAATTCTCTTGTGATCAGTTTACTCATGGTTATTTCCTGCAGGCAGGTCTCTCCCAGTATTCTTGCTCTTTGTTGTGGTTACTCAATATTGTCAAGAGACTTGTTACTTCCCTTATGAAGGAATACATGTACTTAACCACTTTCAGGGGCAACTGTTTTCCAGCCTACATTGAGGAGGTCAAACTGTAACTTTCAAATAACTTGACAGATGCCTTTTCAGTATTCAATTCTGGTTTGGACAGCAGTAGAGTTGACTTCCACCAAACAAGAAACTGGCTTTACCCAATGTTACCTTGCCCTAAAGCAACCCTGCTAAGTTCACATTATGCCTTCTTATTCTTTTATTCAGATTATTTTATTTTTATTCTTTTATTCTATTCAGTCTATTACATTAGTGGCTGTCATCGTGTTGGTTTTAGTTCTTTTTCTTTAAGCTCATGTTCTTCCTGCTTCTAAATGCTATTATGCTACCTCTCAGTTATCCCTCAATCACCCTGTGTCACATCTTGGATAAACAGCTTAAATTTCTTCACTTCATCTGGTGGTAAGGCTGCAGTAATCTTAGGCCTTCTGGTAGCTTCAGAAAGGAGTGGAAATTATTTTCTCCCATTCTTTGCATAAATCCAGACCTTCTTTACATGGCTGCCCTGGTTGTTCTCTATCTTCTGAAGCTGTGGGAACTGGCTACAGCAAGAGACAGGATGTTAGTGGGGAGGCTGAATTCTCTAGTTACTGAGAAACACTGCAAGCATCTGTTTGATATTTAACTCCTGTGCAGGTTTAAACTAACTGCCAGAGTTGGGTCAGGAAGGAACTTCTCTGGTTTGGACTGGCAGTTCTGCCTTTGTGGGAATATCAAAGTATTCTAGATTATCGAACTCTTTCCTGTGACAAGGATCTTTCCTCCTTTGATATGCTGTTGGGATGCCATTATATGCATGGAATAAATATTTTCCTCTGAACTAAGTGTTTGGTACACAGGTTCCCTGGCACTGCAGGACAAGCAGTTGATCATTCAGGTGGTCCTTTCCTATCCTGTTTATCTTCTAACAAGGTTCTTTGAGTTAATGCTTAAGTTTTTCATCTTGCCAATTATATTCAGTTAAAGAAAATTTCCTGATGGGTTTGTTCACTGCCAATACTTTCTCCTTGCTGCTCAACCTCCAAACCTTCTAACACATCTTTAGGAATTGCCTTATGTGTATTCCAGGTTCCTCCTCCTTTTACTAAAAAGAGACAGAGTAAAAGGAATAAAAGACTTCAGTTAATGGACGTATTTGCTTTGATTCCTACCCACAGCTACATACATATCTTTTCATGAAATCCCTCCAATAGGCATTATACTGGCAGGTACATGTTCCCCAAATTCATCAGGTTGTTGTACCTTTGACCTCTTATCTGGTGCCAGAAAGATTTTTATCAAATATTATCATATATGTCCATTTCTTTCTTCTCCAGTCTCCTTCCATTTAGGTTAATTCAAATGAAGTTATTTGCACTGGAACAATTATAGTTAACTCTTTACTTGTAGAATTCTTTCAAAACTAGAATTATTCTGAAAACCAAGTTACAGGGATCTAATCCTACAACTGTTTCTCAGTCCTCATTTGACTAAACATGGGCTTCAAGTGTTCATGACAATACTTATCATTTAGCTTAAAGAAATGTAACTTGGATTGAGAGAAGAAAACGAATGATATTATTTTTGAAATGCATGTATTATACACTGAGTGTGAAATTTCAGGGTTGTTGGCTACTCTCTTCCTGGGTGGAGGTTGAGAAAATAAACTTCAACTGTGATAGCCTGGAAGGGTCTAAGTTTTGAAAGCATCAGTATGCTGTTATTTCAGGAGTGTTTAGTAGGTGAGCCTGCAGCAAGCAAAGAGATAGCAGGAGAGGTAGGTCTGATGTGTTCCCAAACTCTTCTGCAGTATCTATAGAGACAGGGTGCTAGCAAGAAAGTTATTAGGATGTCAGGGCATTTCCCAAGGACAGAAAATTATCTTCACTGTATGATGTCCAGCATACAGACAGCTGAGTTCAGCTATTATACAACCATTAAGATTGGAAAAGACCTCTGAGATCTAATCCAACCATTAACTCAGCACTGCCAAATCCACCACTAAACCATGTCTCTAAGTACTACATCCGCACGTATTTTTAACACTTCCAGGGACAGTGATTCCACCACTTCCCTCGGCAGCGTGTTCCAATGCTTGACCACCCTTTCAGTGAAGAAATTTTTCCAAATATCCAATCTAAACCTCCCCTGACACAACTTGAGGCCATTTCCTCTCATCCTGTCACCTGTTACCTGGGAAAGGAGACTGACCCCCACCTGGATACCACCTCCTTTCAGGTAGTTATAGAGAGTGATAACATCTCCCCTGAGCCTCCTTTTTCTCAGACTAAACAACCACAGCTCCCTCATCTGCTCCTCATAAGTCTTGTGCTCTATACCCTTCACCAGCTCTGTTGGCCTTCTCTGGACACACTCCAGCATCTCAATGTCTCTCTTGTAGTGAGGGGCCTAAAACTGAACGCAGGACTCGAGGTGCAGCCTCGCCAATGCCGAGTCCAGGGGCAGGATCTCTTCCCTAATCCTGCTGGCCCCACTATTTCTGATACAGGTAAGGATGCTATTGGCCTTCTTGGCCACCTCTGCAGCCAAATCAATATAAGGCACTACAGGATAAAAGCTCCAATAAAGTTTGGAAATTTTCTTATTTTTACCAAGAATATAAATTTTCAGTCTTGTCCTGTATTTTGGCCAGGAAGCATACTTTAGCATGTTGGCCCCTGCTGGCCCTGTCCTCACCACAAAGCAAAGATCATAAGAGCAAATTATATTGCTAAGAACTAAGGAGTAATGGAGAAGATATGAGAATGCAGAGTTATGGCTTTGAAATACTTTTCCCCCTGCATTTCTCCATGTGGCTTAACCATTGCTTTCCATCCCTCCTCTGACCACTTCCTTCCCTGCAGTAAATGCTGCTGGGAGACTATCTGCAACCATTGCTCTTATTCTCCGACACTGACTCTGCTCCCAGCTCACATTAATACCTTTCCCCATTTGACACCTTCCTCCTCTTCCCTGATACCTAATGGAAGTGATAAGGGTTTGAGGTGCATAGGTCCCAAGCAAACAAGAGAGAGAGATCTGTCCCGTCCCAACCCTACGCTGTCTCCACCACTCTAAATGTAAGCAAAAGGACTGGACTGCCAGCTAACCCACTACAGACAGGACAATCTGAGCAGGACACTTAACCAGACATCATTCATTGTACAGCTGAATAAAAGCCCATCAATTCCCAGATCATCAATTCCCAAAATCTTATAGACTGCTGTTCCAGAGAAGGCCCACCAACTGGTACAGATCTGACGTCTTTTCTCCAGAATGCAAGTTCTGATTTGTTTGAGGAAACAGGTGTGAGGGAGCTCCCCAGAGAAATACCTGTTCCACTGCAGGTACAGCAATAAGAAACTTCTGAAATTTCTGTGGTTTCATTCTCAGCCAGAGTTGCATCATCAGTATTTAATTCAGAATGCTGAAATCACTTTTTCCAATGATCCCGATGAAGACAGAGGTAGGCATGTTCTGGGCACTGCCACCCTCTGTTTCCCATACGCT